ACAAAAATAAGAATGTGTTGGCTGTGTACTGGATGTCAACCCCAAAGCCTGGATCATGAAACTCCTCATAGCTGATTGGTTCCACCAGTGCTTTATCCTGCAAGTTAAGCTTTATCTGTCAGAGAAAAATGTCAAATTCAAAGTGCTTCTGATCATGGACAAAGCTGGAGGCCATGCTGTCCATCTGTCATATAAAGGCGTCCAGATAGAGTTCCTGCCGCCGAACACCACATAGCTCATTCAGCCTGTGGATTAAGGCACTGTTCACGCTTTTAAGGCACTCTACACATGAAATGCCCTGCAAAACCTGGTTAAAGCTATGGACTCGGATAAAAACTTCTCACTAAAAAAGGCGTACTGGTGTGACTACAATATTGCACTGTTCTCCTAAATATTCAGAAGGCCACAAAGGAGATAAGTGAAACAGTAAATGCCAGCTAGAAAAATTTGTGGCCAGAAGTGGTCCACAATTACAAGGGATTCTCTTCTGATGAAATCCATCACTCTGCAGTAGCTAAGGCCATGAAACTGGCAAAACTACTGGGAGGAGATGGCTTCAATGATATGACTCCTGACGATGCAAATGACCTGATCGATGTCCACTCACAAGCACTGACAGATGAGGACATGATGGAGATGATGAAGTCAGCAAGTGAAGAAGAGGATGAGGAACAAGACAAAGTACAGGTTGGAGAAGAGGAGGAGGTTGGCCTACCACTTGATCATCTTGCAAACCATGGTCAGAATGGCCAAAGAACTTTAGCGACTGGCTGAAGAATGGGGTCCCAGATGCTTCGTTCATTGCATTTCATAAGTGCAATCGAGAGTGGAATGCCAGTTTATAAAAACCTTCTCACTGAGAAGAAAAAGCAGCGCCAGCAACTCCCCATACTATGTTCATCCCTCGGAAGAAGAGATCAGTTACGGCCCTGGGTGAAGATACTGCACCTCGTGATGAAGTGCCTGATGAAGTGGTGCCTTCAGAAGAGCTGTAATGCTCTTCTTGGCTGTGCGGTACATTCATCTCATCGTCATCACCATCACCATCAGTACCGCACAGCTACATAATTCATGATCTTCATCATTCAAGTTGTAGTATACTTCACCGGCAAGTACTCGTATAGAATTTACGTGTTGCTAAAATTATGTAGGCTTACGAGTGTAGAAAGTGTTTAAGTGCATATGATGGGGGCTGGGGATTTAGCTCAGCGGCAAAAGCGCCTGCCTGGCAAGCGCAAGGTCGTGAGTTCGGTTCCCGGTACTGGAGAAAAACCAAAAACCAAAAACCAAAAAAAAAAAAAAGAGCATATGAAAAAAATTTGTAAAAGTGTGGGAAAGGTTAGTAAGAGAGTGGGAAAGGTTTATAGGAGTGTGGGAAGGGTTTATAAAGCCATATATATCTATATATAAAATGAAATAAATATAAGGCCACTACTTTGTGAATTCTCACCTATCACAGGGGTCTCTAGAACATAACTCCCGGGATAGGTGAGGGATCACTATACAGGTCCTTGTGCACTTAAGGACTAAGGTCATTATGAGAAAAAGAAACACTTTGCAAGAGTGGACAACCAAGTACAGAGACAGAATCCCCAGAGACAGAGACAAGATAACTTCAACTGACTGATTTAAGGTGCTGACCAAGAACCCTTGTATTGATAAGCATTCCAACAAATCCTCCTACCCCACTATCTTACAAACATATGTAAAGTACCCCATCTTGGTGCCCTGAGAATGTACTTTTGACTGTCATTAATTATGCACTACATTGTTCCAATAAATTTCTGCTAGTGATTTGCCTCAGTGTGTCTACCTTGTCTATATTATCTCAGAGCCTCTCCAGGACAAGCTAGGTCTCTGGCCTTTTCTGTTAACCCTCCAGGTGACAATAATATACAACAAAGGCTATTCCCCAAAGGCACCTAATAGATGAAAATGTTCTTTTATCATCATAAACAACATTGCATACTCTCATAAACTTGTAAAGGCAGTCATTCCAACAATATTAATCAGTTACATTTCCTTATACCTTGCTCTTGTTTTTTTCAGTTAAAAATAAAATTACTTTTTCATCTAATTAATCATTAAACATTACATGGTATCAATAAAAAAGTCACAAAGTCTCAAAAATATTTTATGGTTTTGTTTTGGTTATCAGCTGAACTGCTAGAGGTCTCTGTCGATTATTATTCTTCTTTGGTGAAAGAATTTGCAATTTCAGGTGATAATTTATATATATGACCAAACTTAATAGGGCACAGAGAATAGGTCATATTGTCTATGCTGTCGTCATACTGGAAAAAGAATTTGAGGACATTAAAAATTTTAATTCATACAGGAAAATATCATTAAAGATTCTGCACATGTTATCTCAACAGTTCTTTTTTCTACCTTACTTACTTTCCTCAACTACATATGAAAATAACCCAATGATATGTTTTCCCTCCCACTCCTATTATCCTGTTAATTTTTACTAATTCTTTGAGGAAATCTCAATATCATTTAACAGTAACGACTTTTTGTAAATGTTAAAAAAAGAGATTTGAGAAATTAAAAACATTCTGTTTACTGATGGAATTTATAACAGAATTTTTTAATTCTATACAGTCCAACCACTGATCTAAGTCTCATATTTAACTTAGAAAATGAGTCATCGGTAGTCACAAATTCCCTAAAGATAAGGCAGAAATGTAAAAACGGCTTCAAAATACTTGAAGAAACCCGATGAAGATATAAATTAAACAAACTTACTAGAAAGACGATGATTCTGCAAGTAAATATGACAACCCCATTAAAATGCAATACACAGTTTTGTGGGAAAAAAGGAAATCTAAGATAAAATAGACATTTTATATAAAATATTTACATATACAATGCACAAAACCCACTTTCTTAGCAACCTTTAAAGCTTTGAAGAGCAAGATATTTACATATCTTTCTTTCTGCATGTGTGTGTGTGCCTGCATGTGTGTGTTTTGTATATATTTTTAACAGTTGACAGCTGTTTTAGAGCATACAGAGATGCCAAGTTGAATGAGGGTCTTGATTACTTCAAGATTAGCTATCTAAAGTTTCTATTCATTTTAAGTGTTGTTAGTTGGAAGAGTCATTAGTCACTTCCTTGTCTCATAGAGCATCAGCATACATTTACATTGTTAATGAACATTTGGGGTAAATGAATTAATGGCACTTTTAAACATCAATTCAGTTCTAATAACTTAGTATGTCATAGAAATGTTAGGCTAAGATATAAACGAAAAGCCTTTTCAGTAAAGGTAACTACTCATTCCTGCAAATAATGAAGGATAAAATTAATTTAAACTGTTCTTTAACCAGGTTTTTAAAGAAAAAACCCTCAATATTTAGTGAAATAGACCAAAGAAAAATATTCCCTTAGAAAACAACAGAAAACTGTGTCCTCAAATGATCATATAAACCAGAAATAGTATAAAAAAGTTGTTGAAATTATATACTTTTATTAGAAATACACAGTCACTCTTAAAACTCACATTAATTAGACTGATTTGAATGTTTTGGTAAGTATGGCACATAGGGGAAAATATCTCTTGGAAAGGTTTCTTGCTTACCACTGAGATAATACTGGAATTGAAATGGTCAGTTAATTTTTGCATCATGAAAATCTTCAACACCAGTCTTAAATCTTACATATCAATCAATCAATCAATCAATCAATAAATTAAATTAAATTAAATCACAAAACAAATTTGTAGGGCTGGGCTTACAGCTCAGTGGTACAAGTGCCTGCCTGGCAAGCACAAGGTCCTGAGTTCAATTCCCAGTAGTAAAAATAAATAAAAATAAATAAATAAAAACAAATCTGTAGGATATATTCTATTCCACTAAAAACATCAATGTCATTAACATGATGTAGAAGGTATTAAAAACACAGAAGAAACAAACATTCCATAATTATCTTATGTTCTAAAGAAATATTCACGTTAAGAGTCAATCACAATCCTAATACATGTATTTTATGAGTGAAATTTTTAAAAGTCACTGAGGAAATGAACATTATCAAATATTTAAGAAAGTATGGGGGCTGGGGATTTAGCTCAGCGGCAAAAGCGCTTGCCTGGCAAGC